CTAAATTAGGGAAGGCTAGCGCAGATAGTCCTCGTGTAGCTTTGCGCGAAATTCAAAACAAACAGACATTATGACTCAGTTGGTCTGCTTATCTATAAATTTATCATTCTAGTGTGGTTGACACGTTATTTTACTTTTTTTTCTTTACGTTTATTCTTAAGTTTTTCGAACTATTATCATATAGCTATTTTCATCTTCGTGTATGATGAAAAATCCTGCCATCTAATAACAAAAAATAACATTAAAATGTAAAACGACGAAGTTTTAGGCTTAATTCTTATGAGACAAAAAGATTGCATTCATTATATATATTACTTTTACCATTGTCTGGTGTATTTGAATTATTGTTTTATATTAGTACGTTGGTTGAAATCCATGATAAAAACTCAAACAAGCTAGATTCTGTTGTCTTCTTTGGGCCGAACGTGGCCCAATGGTTAGCGTGAGTACACCGTGAATTCCACAAAATTGTGGTCGCCTTATAAAAAGTGATGATCAAATTTATCAAAATAGCCCAAGAGTTGGCGGCGGGTGCTGTTTGATAGCTGCCTTCCTTCTACTTCACGAACCCAAAACTAGGGACAGCTAGCGCATGTAGTCGTTTTGTCTTTCCAATAAACGTGTGATGAGTAAATATTTTTTTCACACTCAGTCAACAAAATTTGGATTCGAGTCAACATAAGACTGAATATTGAAGGTTGGAATGGACATTTACATTAACACTTTTTTCAGCAAATATTTAATATTCAGGATAGAATATAAATAGAATTATATTTTTCAACAGTAAATTATTCTTAGTCCGAGGGTCCGAACCCCCGGTTTTAGCGTTGTACTCTCCCTTTGCGCTCGGGTGAGTTTCCTATCCCTCGGTTTGTATTCCATTGTATTCAATGATGACCGAAGCTACCTGTGCTCTGCCTACGGCGGGTATCAAAACCCGATTTTTTAATTTGGAAAGCTCTCGGGGACCCGATTCGAAACCTCGTACTTTAGTTTTTCAAAGCAACTGCTTCGGCAAGCAGAATCATTGGAGGTTCGAAACTCGCTCGTTTTCGATTTTCTGTTTTCGGGGTACATCAACTGTCGTTATCATGAAGGCTACGGGTTTGAATTATATGAACGGTATTGTTAAAGACCGACATTCAGAAAATGAAATTAATACCAGAACCCTTTGTGTAACGTAACAAGAAAATATGATTTGAGAAGGCCAAGGAGTGTAAGTAATATTACAAAATGTTTTCAAGACGTCGCCGAAGAAGCTTTGGATAACACAAATGGTAATAACTGTACCGACTGTCCTGCACTGCGGGTTTCATTTTTACACATCTTTCACTGTTACCAGCTTTAGTGTCAAAACCCCAAGGCGTTGCGTTTCGACAAGTCCTAAATTTGAATATACGGGCCATCGGTATTTTTTGGCCCTACGCCAGATAAGATCAATATGATTTCCACTTATTTTATGCCACTAGGTCTAACCTTAAAGATAACACTTCTGTTTACTGTATATTAGCTTTAAGAAAAAAATGTTTAGTGAAATTTCATTGTTAGATTTTGCCGCCAGGGGTCCTTACCACTGCTAATAAAAGTAAGCTTCTTTTTTTTTTTCACCGTTTCGTTTGTGAATCAAAATATCTCTTGCTTGTCTGACTGAAATAAGTGGTCTAATTTGCATGTGTGGTAATCCCATTTTTGCATATTCTTAGCAGAGGATCGATCCCAAGATCTCTCTCGCTTGGAACACGCTAGTTGATGAAGTGCTCGAGAACTTTTCTGTTTCTGTAAGGCCCGGGATGGGCCAGGTGGTTAGGGCGCTCGACTCGCAATCTGAGGGTCGCAGGTTCGAATTCCCGTCCCACCAGACATGCTCTCCCTTTCAGCCGTGGGGGCGTTATAATGTGACGGTCAATCCCACTATTCGTTGGTAAAACAGTAACCCAAGAGTTGGCGGTGGGTGACCTTCCATCTGGTCTTTCACTGCTAAATTAGGAACGGCTAGCACAGATAGCCCACGTGTAGCTTTGCGCGAAATTCATAACAAACTGTTTTTGTAAATAATGGAATACACGGGTCTTTCAAGATGCTGAAACATTTATGTACGAACATAATGAACATAAGTGTCGCTGCTAGATATCTGGTATAATTTTTTAATCACGTGACATTATTAGGAACTGCACTTAAGTGTGTGTGTGTTTATGTCAGGCATCATTCATTCACTCTTGGATTAGTAGGATTGTTAACACTTGAATATAAATATTGAACGTTTATTTATTAGTAGGATTGTTAACACTTGAATATAAATATTGAACATTTGTTGATTGGTAGGATTGTTAACATTTGAACACAGCATTATATTCAACGTTTATTGATTAGTAGGATTGTTAACACTTGAATATAAATATTGAACATTTGTTGATTAGTAGGATTGTTAATATTTGAACACAGCATAATATTCAACGTTTATTGATTAGTAGGATTGTTAACACTTGAATATAAATATTGAACATTTGTTGATTAATAGCATTCTTAACATTTGAACACAGCATCATATTCAACGTTTATTCATTAGTAGTATTGTTAACACTTGAATATAAATATTGAACATTTGTTGATTAGTAGTATCGTTAACATTTGAACACAGAACCATATTCAACGTTTATTCATTAGTAGTATTGTTAACACCTGAATATAAAATAATATTCAACATTTATTGATTAGTATTGATTGATTTAACATCAGCGCTCCACGTCACTAAAGATATGTTGCCATTTCTCAAGTCTTCTGGAGTCTTTTTGTTGAAGTGGACCGATGTTACATTGAGCATTTGATGCGACTTACTGTTGATATTACTGAAACAAGATTCAGTGTTTCAAGCTGTCTTAGCAGCGCTATCAACTGGAAAAGCTGTGGGTTTCATAGTTCTCTCACCACTAAGCTGTGGGTTTTATGGTTCTCTCACCACTAAGCTGTGGGTTGTATGGTTCTCTCACCACTAAGCTGTGGGTTGTATGGTTCTCTCTCGATTAAGATGTGGGTTGTACGGTTCTTTCACCACTTGTACGTTTAAACCCAATCCTGTATAATAATAAGTTTATCTACAATCAAAATGGTTGAAATATATTTCATTTTGAAACGTTTTGGTTAACTCTTTGGTCACGAAATGTTCAATAACAGAACAGAGTCCTGTGTTAATGAAAACGATTTTGTTTTGTTTGTTGTAACGCAAAGCTGCTAAATGAGCTTTGGCCATTGCAGGTAACGAACCCAAATATTAACATTATAATCCCTCAAGCTCTGAACGACCGAGAGGGTGTAAATGGAACAGTATAATCAACTGTTTTGTTTTCGTTTCGTTATTTGTAATTCGGAATATACTGCTTAAATAGGTTATTTGTGAACGTTTACTAGCAAAATAAAATTGATCATGCGCACTCTGGAGGCTGATTGACCGAGTTTTAAATTTTGTTTTGGGAAGCTAAGGTAAACCTATATACGTAAATTATAAAGCAATGGTTATAACTTTGTGGCTTTCCACCCATGTTCCAGTGTCTTGAAGTGACCACAATAAAGCTTGAAATGTGCACTGAGCAACTATTTGATGGCACGGCGCTCCTTAACTCAAGATTTATTGAGGAATAAGTTGGCTACAAGAACAGCAGGGGTCTTTGGCAGATTCCAGAGCTTACTGAGATAATGAAGCCAATATATAAACTGCTTCTGTGGTTCAGTGAATCCGGATTCCCTAATCATCTCCTTCTGTCTTGGTGTATTCAGCTTTCATGATGATTTATATGCTGTGCCAATCCTGATCTATCATATATCACCTCACGTAGTCCTGTTTATACCATCATCATCAGTATTATTATTCTTGACTTAACTAAAGAAATGTTTGGATTATTTCATTGCACCGTCAAGCATTGAAGGTAAGAAAGGTATGACGAGCATTTGCACTCCCATGGATCATTTGCTCAAGCTAGAATTTGCTTAAAATAATACCGTATATTTTAGTCAACCTGTAAAATCCTCGTCAACAATCGTGTGAAGGTCATTGAAATTTTCTCTTATTTTGTTTTTCTCTAGTCCTAATCGATTGTTTTCTCGGCGGCTTTTTGTTTATCTGCCGATTTCTGTAGCGGATAACTAACAACAGACGTTCGTACTCTCTGCACATCAGCTGAAGAAGAAACAATTTTACAACGAATTGTTGTCAACGAGGCCAGAATGTAGGCCATATGTAGAACCATATGATTTCTGAAATACGATTATGTAATTTTATCACGGAAAACCATAGTTGTGGTTACTGGGAAATGTTGTTATCACTGAGAACCATAGTTGTGGTTACTGGGAGATGTTGTTATCACTGAGAACCATAGTTGTGGTTACTGGGAGATGTTGTGATCACTGGGATCCATGATTGTGGTTACTAAGATTT